ATATGTTAATCTATGGCTATGATATATACATGCGTTTCGTTCAATGATTTAAAACGATGTGGCCATTAATTAAGTTTTCACAAATATAATATTATGGTCGTGTGCGAGTTAGGCTAAGTTGCGTTCTAAATGAGGGAAATTCTAAGTTGTGCCGATAATGTAGTTATGTGTCGATACTTAGCATATTTTCGAGGTGGTTAAGTCGAGACTAAATGGCCAGGGTTGCCATTTTAGTATTTTCGTAAGATAATATTTTCATAATTGAATTCAAATAAATATAAGAATATGAAGAAAATGACAATAAAAAATAATTTTATTAAAACGTTTTGTTTTATTTGTATTAAAAAAAATTAATCATCGTTATTAGAAAACTTTTAACATTTGCAATAAATTCTGTAAATATTTGTATTTTCTAAAATTTTAATTACTTTTATTTAATATTATAAACATTTCCTTGATAAAATTTTATTATAGTGGCTGATTCCAAAAAAATAATTGAATTTCTTTTCATTGACTTGGCAACATTGTTTTGGTAATTTTTGACATTTGAATAATTTGTTTGTGTTCAACATTGTTTGTAAGCAATTTGTATATTGAAAAGGTAAAACATCTTGATCCGCTTTGGTAGCCAAACCTAAAAAGTACACAGAAATGTGAACCTGTCTTTAGTTGGGTAGTTCATTTCACTGAGCTACCGATAAATGATGTAGTACAAAAAGCTGAACATGAAAAAGATGTTTTTTACTTTGTCAAAGAAGTCAATGTTGGAAGTTTTGCAAATGAAGAACAGACTGCTTTACATTATGCTGTTAGTGGTGGTCACTTTGATTGTGTACGTTCTTACTATCATTTAATGCGAATAGCAAACTAATTGATAGAAATGATCAAACATGTTAGGATGTTACTGATAATAATGATATTCGTATGCTGTTGTCTTCATAACAAATATAATTTTTGACTTACCTTTTAATTCAGACCTTGTAATGATTGTAAATACGGTTTTAGTACTTCATTAATAAATAAAATAAAATTTCATTTATTCGACACAATTATTTTCTGAATTTTTTATATATAAACCTGGCTAGATTTAAATTTACTTTGTAACAAAAACTCTATATGATGGTGGCTTAAATAACTTCAAAATAAGGGTATCATTAGCACTAGTGGCATGTAAAATATTGAATTTTTGCCTTAACGATATTATTTGTTTCAAAAATATTGGTACTACTCTTTGCACGAGATGCTTTTAATAATTTTTTTGTAAACTACATTGAATATTTTTTTGGTCTACAGCATGTCTTGAGTCGAGAATCACTGCTCTAATTTATGCAATGTCTGCAAACATTTTGTTGTTAAAGCCGAGATAAGTGCTTTGATTTATTGAATCCTACTTAATCTCGTTTTCTTACGAACGATGAAACTTTCTCTAAAGTTTTTAGTGGCAATGGTTAGTTAATGCTGAGTAAGCCCGAGACAAAGTCAATAATCCCCTAGATTTTTATTGTACTGTGGCATGTTACGAAATTTTTTATTTAGAAAACGCAACTTAAGAGGTTTTGAAAAAAAATTTAGGACAAAACATTTTTTATATAAATTAAAATCATCTACAACTGTAATAAAATATATAGTAATAAGACCAAAATTTTAATAACAAAAAAAAAAATAATTATGCGTTTCTCACAAAAAATTAGCAAATACAAAAAACGTAAATGTTATATTTAGTCCATCGGTCAAGAGAGTGATTACGATAAGTAAGTCACCGGTACAAATGAAAATAGACTCGGGGGCAAGTTACTCAATAGTAAGTGAAAAGTTATTTAGAGAAAAAATATCGTGTATTCCGCTAAAACCAAGTCAAATACAATTAAGAACTTGGGGAACAGAGAAAAATCTTAAACTGAGTGGAGAAGCAGAAATACCAGTCTCGGTTGGGAACGTCACAAAGAAACTAAAGTTGTTAGTAGCAGCAGGTGATGGTCCGGCTCTAATTGGTCGAAAATGGTTTAACGATTTGGGAATTACTATAACTAGCAATTTATGCAATATAGAGTCAACTATTCCAGTACAAGTGATGAACTTCAGTTCAGTTTTTGATGGAAATCTTGGAGATTACAAGGGAAATCCTGTGAAGTTACAAATGTCAGTTTCAAGTAAACCGAAATTTCTTCGATATCGACAAGTGCCTTTTGCACTAAAACTCAAGGTGGAAGCAGCATTAAAGAAGTTGGAAGATGAAGGCGTACTGCGTTCAATATCCTTTAGTGAGTGGGCAACACCGGTTGTACCTATTATTAAACCAGATGGTAGCATACGCATTTGTGGAGATTATAAGTGCACAGTGAATCAAATGCTTTGCAAGGAAACGTATCCATTACCTACAAATACAGAAGTGCTAGCAGCATTAGCAAATTGTAAGTGGTTTACAAAGCTGGATTTAGATCGAGCGTATACACAGGTGAAGGTTGACCAGGAATCAGCAAGCATACTTACATTAAACACACATCGCGGACTTTTTGAAGTTACAAGATTACCGTTTGGAATTTCAACGGCACCAGGTATATTTCAACGGATGATGGAAGGAGTTCTTAAGAACATAGATGGTGTGATTATTTATTTAGACGACATTCTAATTGGCGGAACAACTTTGGAAGAGTTGTGGGATAGAACACAAACTGCTCTGAAATGTGTACAGGATGCAGGATTGAAGCTTAAAAAATCAAAATGTGTTTTCGCAGTACAAGAGATAACATTTTTGGGGTTTAAGATAAGCCGAGAAGGAGTGCGTCCAACTGACGAAAAGGTGAAGGCAATAGCTCAAGCACCAGAACCAATAAATAAACAACAGCTACAAGCTTTTCTTGGGTTAATTACATTTTATGATAGATTTTTACAATACTAAAATATGATATTTGCCTATGACATGATGGAAAACACCGGAGTAGCGCAACCACAGTTGTTATAAGTGTAAATGCTCTTAATATGTTTGGCTGTCAAGACTCAGCTATGCCATACAGTAACAAGAGTTTCATGAAGAATATTCATAAACACCATATTATACAATAATTGATTATTTTTTATATATTAAGTTTTTTTATTATGTTCTTATATCAAATACAATAGAATTATTAACTAAATTTTATTACTTAAATTATATAGAATACAACTATAAACCTTAGATAACTAATTATACATTAACTTAAATTAACTAGAACTATTAACTAAATTTAATTACATATTACTTATAACTATTTAAAATAAAATTACTTATATAAGGGTGAATAATATTATTTATTGTTAATTTTTCTAATCATTCATAAATATTATTAGACTAATATTTTTACATAAATATAAATTTTTACAATTTTTTTAATTTATTTTTAAATTTTGCATTATCTTGGCTACTTTTTAGTAGCCACTTTGAGTTCTTATATAATAGAACTTTTATTAAGAAGTCCAATAAAATTTCGCGATGGCTCCCGCACATAGGCTCCTCAAACCAATTTTCGCTTTGTTCATTTTTTTTCATTTCTTCTTTTATGCTATTTATTATAATTTTTTTAATGATATTCTCTGGTTGCTAACTTGGTGCTGGTAAGAAAAGCATATGCTGTCTCTATCAGCTGTTTTGAGCAAAACACAATTTTTTTGTTTTTGTTTATTTTCCAAATTAAAGTTTAATTGCTTAAAATAAAAAAACTTTAAATTCGCAAAACCGAATTTCACCTTTTCAAATCAGGCACCATTTTGATAAATATCTTTTGTTTATGATCAATGGATCAAGTGTTCATAACTTTAAAATTTGAAATTTAACTTTCCGGATTAAAAACAATAAAAACTTTTATTTAAAATAACGCACTAGCTTCTAAAAAACTTTCGTATACTTCTAAAATCCTACGTGACTCATCGAAAATATAGGGTTAGACACTTAGAAAGAGTACGATATCAACGCTGGAGTTCCTCAGGGTAGTGTCCTTTAGCCGCTTCTATAATTAATCTATACAGCTGACATTACACAATACCCAAACAATTTGCTGACAACGTTCGCTGACGACACTGCTATAGTCAGTATCGACCGTGACTGCACTATAGCTGCACAAAGTTTATCCAGGCATCTCGGTTTGATTGAAGAGTGGCTTGCAAAATGGAGAATCAAGGTGAATGAAACTAAATGCGTTCAAGTAATTTTTACTCTGAGGAGAGAAGCATGCCCTGCAGTTAAAATTAATAATATGGTTAAAACTCAATCACATTCTATGAAATATCTGGGAATTCATATAGATAAAAGGCTCACGTGGACAAGTCATATTGAAGCCAAAAGATGTCAATTAAATCTTATATATAAGGAATTGTACAGGCTTCAAAACCGCAACTCTAAACTCAGTCTCGATAAGAAATTGCTAATTTACAAATCAATATTACAGCCAATTTGGATCTATGGTAAAAAACTATAGTGTTCAGCGTGTAAGGATGGAAATTTTACACAAATTTCCAACCTACATATTATGACTTTATTGTTACTGGTGAATCATCTGTAAGAAATAAAGTGCATTAAAATTAACATTTATTTATTATATAAATACTTACCTGGAATCACTCCCCAGCACACTCGTCTACAGCATACTTTAATAGTTGGATGTTTCTATAAATGAATTTATTAAATATAATTATCATTTAGAAAATTGGAAAACAATTATAAATACCTTTGCACTACCACTTTACGCACATCACTTGGAGTTATTTAAACTAAAAGGGGAACTTCGTTTATATAAATAATTTTATTAAATTAATTATTATTACTCCGATATTACTTATTAATTAATTTTACTTATATGAATAAATTATATTCAATTTAAAAAACAAAAACGCGCACATGTACAAAGTAAAAATGTAAACAAACATTAGTAAACGTCAAAACGTCAGAATGCAATTCGCTGCAAAAAGATGCACAAGGAAGCTTTTGTGTAAAAGTGTTAAAGTGCATTAAGTTCAACTAAGATCAACTCAAAGCTTTGTTACTTTACACAAAAAGTTCAAGAGGATGCGTATAAAAGACAGCGCAATTTTCTAAGAATTGGGTGTGTCTAGTATGATCACTCGGTGGCATTGTATGTCAACATATAAAAATAAATAAATATAAAAAAAATTGTCTGACACAGTGGCGGTTTTAAGCCTAGTGTATAATCTATTTAAAATATATATATAATTGTTTAGTGCATGGGCGGTTTTAAGTCCAGGCGCGGAGACACTTTATATATATATTCAATATAACAAGACATATATACATTCACTAAACCCGTTTCGTCCAGTAGGTACTCATCGAGCAGAATAATCACCGAAATTATACTAAGGTACAACCACGAAACCGGATCAGCCACCACTGTCAACTCTACAGGGACAGCTTCCAAATACAGCTGGTCACAAGGAAACATCTCGAGTCATATCTAATTAAATTAAACCAATCTCTTTGAAATACGACTAAGGAAATACATTCAGAATTTGCATGCGTTTTAAATCTCAAGTTATTGAAATACGATTGAAGAAATAATAATCTATATAAAGCTATCCTATATAAATCATTGAAAATTTTACAAATTGTTAATCGCAAAGTTTATCTAGTTACGTTTAATCAAATTCTTTTATTTATTACATATTATTTTAATGAACTATTAATATTTTAAATAAATCTACATTGAAAATTTAACCGCCGTACTTTTATTTTGAGAAGTCCTGTCTCCGCGAATATAAATTTATTGTAGCGACCCCCTGGAAAAGACTGAGGATACCCCAGCATAAATTATAACGAAACGGAAAAATCCGTGTCGTTACAATTGGCGCTTGAGCAGGGACAGACAGACTTCTCAAAATTAAATGAAAGTAATATCCACGTTACCATGGCGCAAGCTAACATGATCAAAAGATAAAATCTAAATACTTTCATCCGTAGTCCAATTCAAGCCGGTTCAACAGAGAAACATACAAGACGTTCGCATAAGCAGCACATCATGTACTTATCGTATGCACAAACCGTGGAGCGGATACGAAAATGGTCTGTAAAGTACAATGGAGGAGTAGATCCAATAGATTTTGTGGAAAGCATAGAAGAGTTAGCAGAACTTGACGACGTCAACGTGAATCTAGTTCCCAGGATGATGCCTGTACTGCTTGAAGACAAAGCACTGATGTGGTACCGGAACAACAATAAACAGTGGAACCTCTGGTCAAGCTTCAAGACAGACTTTCTAAAATTTTTTCTTTCATCTAGATATTTCAAAAGATTAGAAGACGAGGTGCGAACACGATTGCAAAAGAAGCAAGAAAGTTTTAAAGATTATTTACTATAAATTAAATATCTTATGCGACACACAGACATGAACCAAGATTCGCAATTGGAGCGAATATACCAAAATATGCGCACAGAGTACCAAATGTACATCAAACGTCTAGACTTTTCGAGCCTAACAGAATTAGCAACACTAGCAGATGACTTCGAAGAACTTCGCGCAGAACAGGATAAAGTGAGTCGAGGCAGTGTTCGACAGGAAGTGATAGTTGGTCGCATAGAAGTTGAATATCCACAAATGATGGTATTGGAAAATACAGTGAGACGCATACCTACTACGCCGACACAGGACAAACTTATTCCCAGTTCAAATTCCGAGTCTCCTATCCTCAACCAGCAGAGAAGTAATCAGCAACGCAACCAGCCGACAGCTAAGCAAGTAACAGCACGAATCATACAAGATCAAGATATATTTCAAGATCAAATGTACCAAGTATCAACTCAGCAGAATATCCAACATGTCATGCCAGTTAGAGGAAATCTAAAACCATTCAATCGAAACCAAGTCACAGAAGTTCAACAAATGCTGCAAATCCAACCATGCGAACCAAAGCAAAAATCACAAAATATTAGGTCCATCAGAGGAAATTCACAGATGCAAGAAACACAACGACAAGTAAACCCAAAACTTACAAAGAAGAATCCCGAAGTATTTAAGCCAGCACGAGTTACACCAGATCAGGAAATATTTCAAAGTCAAACGAAGCAAGTATCAGCATACCAAACACCGCAACGTGTCACGTCGTTCAAAGAAAACTTAAAATCGGTTAATCAGGACCAAGCCACAGAATTTAAACGTGTGCTCCAAATCCAAGCGTGCAAACTACAGCAAGATTCAAGACCCAACAAGCAAAATCCCAAAGTATCTATACAACAGCGACTCACGCCAAACCGTGAAATAGTATCAGTTGAAATACAAGAACTACAAAACCAGTTAAAACCAAGATTTATCAAAGAAAATCTCGAAGTATCTAAACAACAGCAAATCACCCCAAATCATCAAATATTACAAGTTCAAACACAGAAAGTACAACGACAAAAAGAACCAAGCGTAATCAAAGCGCAAAAACAAAAGATTCAACGGCACAAAGATCCAAGTCCTAGCAAGGGAAATGAACAGGTAGTTAATCAACCAAAAAGAATCAATCCAACGAGGAATCACCATATAGCACAAGTTAAAATTCAAGATACACAAGGATACGTAGAACAACATCAAGTTCAAGATATTGAAACACAACAAGGTCAACAAAAGGTTACAGTAATCGAAGATCATACCAGACGAGTTCGATTGACTCAAGGAACCCCAAGTCCGACACAATTATTGCAACAAGTTTCAATTAACCACGATAGTCAACGAAAGCAACAGCCAGAAGAAGAAAAAAATGATTCCACACGTCCGAAAGATAAGCTAGACAATCCTCTGATTCAAGTACAAGAACTAAATCTAGGAATTCGGAAACTATCCAGCCCCCAAAACCTACAGAAGCGGATTAGGTATACTCCAGCAGAAGGATTATAATCTTGTTAGTACACACCAAGACAAATTCTTCAAAGTATTCAAGAGCCCAATGAAACGGCACAGGAATCATGCAGACAGGTAGTGCCTCGTGGCAACTTCATTTTCTTCGAAGAAGGAGGGAAATGTAAGGATGGAAATTTTGCACAAATTAATTAATTTTACTTATTTGATAATTTTATATTCAATTTAAAAAAAAAAAACGCGCACATGTAAAAAGAAAAATGTAAACAAACATTAGCAAACGTCAAAACGTCAGAATGCAATTCGCTGCAAAAAGATGCACAAGGAAGCTTTTGTGCAAAAGTGTTAAAGTGCATTAAGTTCAACTAAGATCAACTCAAAGCTTTGTTACTTTACACAAAAAGTTCAAGAGGATGCGTATAAAAGACAGCGCAATTTTCTAAGAATTTAGTGTGTCTAGTATGATCACTCGGTGGCATTGTATGTCAACATATAAAAATAAATAAATATAAAAAAAATTGTCTGACACAGTGGCGGTTTTAAGCCTAGTGTATAATCTATTTAAAATATATATATAATTGGAGACACTTTATATATATATTCAATATAACAAGACATATATACATTCACAAACCTCGTTTCGTCCAGTAGGTACTCATCGAGCAGAATAATCACCGAAATTATACTAAGGTACAACCACGAAACCGGATCAGCCACCACTGTGAACTCTACAGGGACAGCTTCCAAATACAGCTGGTCACAAGGAAACATCTCGAGTCATATCTAATTAAATTAAACCAATCTCTTTGAAATACGACTAAGGAAATACATTCAGAATTTGCATGCGTTTAAAATCTCAAGTTATTGAAATACGATTGAAGAAATAATAATCTATATAAAGCTATCCTATATAAATCATTGAAAATTTTACAAATTGTTAATCGCAAAGTTTATCTAGTTACGTTTAATCAAATTCTTTTATTTATTACATATTATTTTAATGAACTATTAATATTTTAAATAAATCTACATTGAAAATTTAACCGCCGTACTTTTATTTTGAGAAGTCCTGTCTCCGCGAATATAAATTTATTGTAGCGACCCCCTGGAAAAGACTGAGGATACCCCAGCATAAATTATAACGAAACGGAAAAATCCGTGTCGTTACAAGCGTGTAACACAAATATAGAAAAAATCCAGAGAGTGCAAAATAAAATTCTCCGACAAGCTACGTGCGCCCCTTGGTATGTCAAAAACAAAAATTACACAAAGATCTAAATTTACCAACTGTTGAAGAAGTTATTCGCTAATATACACCTAAATTTCGAGAGAGACTCAAGCCGCATCCAAATCCTCATGTTCGACACTTATCTTCTGCAACTGCACTACATCGCCTTAAAAGAAAATAATTGATAAATATGAATACCCTATCTCAATAGCATACATATTAGCTTTTTAAGATTTGCAAATTTGTTATTAATTTCTATTTAGAGAGATTCAATATATAAACCAATGAAAGAAAAAAAAATGAAGGTTAAATATACCTTCAAACCTTACATTATAAACTGAAACAGATTTTTAACTTCGATTAAGTACTTTTTGGAAAGTAGAAGTTCTAAAAGTTTTTAAGGAAATGCAACCACCAAACATTTGTTTACCTTTTATTTGGAAAATTGTCAAAAACAGCTTTCTCAAACTGTGAAAATGCCATAAAAAGCTTTTATTTAGGGTATGTTCAATATATTCATTTGCATTTGAAACATATTTGGAGCTCATTCTAACGTCGTTGGAACGCATTTATACAGAATGAGATCCAATGGATCTCATTTGCGCTTGAGATTTTGTATGCAAAAATGAGTCATTTGTTTCTCATTTTCGATTGATGACCAAAATGAGGCTTTTGAGGCCAGTAGGGGTATTCGCTCTCTCTTGCAAACTCATTGCAAGGTGCACGAAATGCACAAATTGTACGAGAATGCAAATAACAACAACAAAATACACGCACAAAATTTCGTGCAATTGCGTGCAATCTTCCAATACTAAAACCTATAGGGGTATTCACTCTCTCTTGTAAACTCATTGCAAGGAGCACGAAATGCAAGAATGCTATATAAAAACTGCAAGACTGCGAAAACACCTCTGTTGCAGAATTGCATCATCAAAATGAGTCAGCTGTTTTTATAAAAGTATAACAATGCCGCGAACAATTGAAATACAAAAATGTATAGATTTTTTTATTGAAACTAGTGCTTTTAATATTCTGATTGAAGGTATTAACATGTTGTTAATGTAGTTTTCACTACTTTATAGTTTCTATAGTAAATACTTACTTACTTACTTAGTTGGCCATTACAGACGTGTGTCGTCCTTGGCCGCGTCGAGTAGCCTCCGCCTGTCAGCCCGATTAGTTGCTTTCTGACGCCAGTTGGTAGTACCGAGCGCCTCCAAATCGTTGGTCACCTGGTCCTTCCACCGAAAATGCGGACGTCCTCTACCGCGTTTTCCACCTGCGGGTACCGAATCAAATACCTTTCTAGCCGGAGCACTTTCTTCCATTCGCACGACATGACCAAGCCAGCGTAGCCGCTGAAT